ATTCGCAGTAGTATAAAATAATTTTGGATTATCAAAATGCTATCCAAACATACAAGTAGAAGAGAAACTGACAACGCCATGGTAAAACAACAAAAAAACGCCGAACGGACAAACAGCAAATACAAACCACAACAAAGAAAATTAAACACTGGGCACAACATCCTCACCCCCCCCCTTCCCCCCTCCCCCAATTCAAACACTGGGGCTATATCGGGTGCTGGGGAAGAGAACAGAGATCCTGCACCACATGTTGCACACGTAATATTGCTGCTGTAAGAACACATTTTGCGAAGAATTTCATACTGTGGTGTTATATTCGAGGTAAAGAGGACGGAATTTTTGTTACGACAATTGGAACATACCCCTTTTCATTAGGAAAAAACCAGACTCTTCCTCGTATGCGAGGACAAAGATCAAGTTGTTAAGTATCCACTAGGAAATGTTGAATTAACAATACTTAATCCAACAGCCCCCATGTTTGAAGCAATACTTGATTTGAAATGATTATCTGTTTATATACATGCACATCTGTAGGTCTTACACAAAAGACAATTTAAATAGAAATACTTAAAATTATTGGTAAATTTGGTAGTTTAAACTTGATCACATGATTAATTATATAAGTACTTTCCACATTTAAATCTAAAAACTAAATTGTCTCTATAGTTTAGTCAGGTAAATGTTGTTCCTGTAACCAGGTTAACAACAATTTGGACAACAGCATAGACATAATAATACCACCTAAATAGATAAGTTTTGAAAATGATTAATTGATCGTCATGCAGTTACTTAACTTCAAGTGGTTTTTAACAATGAAAGAGAACTGTTATACTTTTACGTATAAGTTATATTCTAATTCACTTCTTACAGCTACATGTAATGTATATTATTATGTCACTTGTGTGTTTTCTCAAATAAACATAACAGTAGTAATAATTAACCATTCTTTTATAATGTTTCCTTTATTCTACAGTAAGTAACAGAGTAATAAAGGAGATATGATTTGTTCAAAATAAATAACAAAAATCGTTATAAACGTTGTGAAAGAAAATCAAATGGTTGTTATACACAAGGTCAGGTTTTTCTCTAACTGTTTATGAGATCTTTACACTAAATTCATTGGATGTTGGATGTGTACTGAGTTATAGTTTAATCTTAGATGCATGATTTTTTTTCTTAGTTGTTATTGGCTTTGAACTAGATGTCAGTAACTGCGAGTAGTCATAGATCTGAATGTTGTCTTTTTTATTGTGGGGATGTATAAGTACTCTGCCACGTCCGGTCTGTGTTTTTGTCAGACGTATTTCTGCTTTGTATCGATCTGATCCGTTGAACCCTTTTCAACTGATTTTGATAGTTTGTTCTTATGTTGCACTGTTCCAGGTTAAAAAAAAGGGGGGTTTCACCTTCAAACTAGTTTAACCCCGCTACGTTCTGTATGTTCCTGTCCCAAGTAAGGAGCCTGTAATTCAATAGTTGTTGTTTGTTGCTGTATATCATATTTGTTTTCAGTTTATTATTTTGAACACAAATCAGGCCGTTAGTTTTCTCGTTTGAAGTGTTTTACATTTCAGGGCTTTTATAGCTGACTTTGCGGTATGGGGTTTGCTCATTTTTGAAGGCCGTATGGTGACCTATAGTTGGTAATGTCTATGTCATTTTGGTCTCTTTGGAGAGTTGTGTCATTGGTAATCATACCATATTTTTATATTTATATGCATATTGGCAACAGTTAGCAACGGCTATGGCAGGTTTCTACATGTTATGATAAAATCGGAATTTCACAATGCCATGGCTTTATATTTTTGATTATATGATGACATACGTCAATACTAGATTTTTACACACCTAATTGACAATCTCCATTGTTTTTATATATAGTAAAGTCAGTTATTAATTTGTTCTTCTATAAAAACGATCAAAACGATTAAAGCTAGCTCGTTTTACGTTAAGTTCATTCAAATTGCTGTGTCAGTGACGGAAATTTGTCTTTTTTATTGTGGGGATGTATAAGTACTCTGCCACGTCCGGTCTGTGTTTTTGTCAGACGTATTTCTGCTTTGTATCGATCTGATCCGTTGAACCCTTTTCAACTGATTTTGATAGTTTGTTCTTATGTTGCACTGTTCCAGGTTAAAAAAAAAGGGGGGGGGGGTTTACCTTCAAACTAGTTTAACCCCGCCACGTTCTGTATGTTCCTGTCCCAAGTAAGGAGCCTGTAATTCAATAGTTGTTGTTTGTTGCTGTATATCATATTTGTTTTCAGTTCATTATTTTGAACACAAATCAGGCCGTTAGTTTTCTCTTTTGAAGTGTTTTACATTTCAGGGCTTTTATAGCTGACTTTGCGGTATGGGGTTTGCTCATTTTTGAAGGCCGTATGGTGACCTATAGTTGGTAATGTCTATGTCATTTTGGTCTCTTTGGAGAGTTGTGTCATTGGTAATCATACCATATTTTTATATTTATATGCATGTTGGCAACAGTTAGCAACGGCTATGGCAGGTTTCTACATGTTATGATAAAATCGGAATTTCACAATGCCATGGCTTTATATTTTTGATTATATGATGACACACGTCAATACTAGATTTTTACACACCTTATTGACAATCTCCATTGTTTTTATATATAGTAAAGTCAGTTATTAATTTGTTCTTCTATAAAAACGATCAAAACGATTTAAGCTAGCTCGTTTTACGTTAAGTTCATTCAAATTGCTGTGTCAGTGACGGAAATTTAATGGATCCTTTTGAACTTCTATATATCAGAAAACAGTATATTCAATGTCTTATAAATATATAGCTGTTTTAATCAACATATATTCTGGTACCATGTACAGTAAATGGATTGTTAGCGTTATGTAGTACATATATAAATATAAGTAGATGTGGTATGATTGCCAATGAGACAACTATCCACAAAAGTTCAAATGAAGTGGATGTAAGCAATTATAGGCAACCGTACGTGCTTCAACAATGAGAAAAACCCATACCGTATGGTCGCTACAACGAAACTTTTTAGCAAAGAAATATCATTAAATAATTTAGGAAACATTTAAAAGTATTCAAAGATCTGCGATCAACACTAAATTCCTAAATACACATAGCATATACTTGATATATTCAAGATTGACAAGATGGCTTGTTTTAAAATAACACTTTATCTCTTGGCTTTATTACATTTGTTGTATGAAAACTCAACTTTTCCTTCCGTAATGTATTGAAGAAGGTATTATTCAAAAAATATATCAAGACAAAGCTACCAATTTAATATAATTGGTATAACATACAGCTACAACAAAATACTACACAATACCATATCACTAATTAACTATAGCAATGAATAAAATGCCACGCAAAGTCCTTGATTTGTTGTTTTCTTGTATACTCGATTTTTATTCGTATTTGCAAGACTTTGTCAAATTATTCAGGCATAGTATATTGAAGGAACATTCATTACAAGATTAACATAGTTTATGCCCATCTCAATCTGTACCTTAAAAAATATTCCATTCTTGGAACCTAAATCACACTAAACTCCAAAACATATACATGATATATATGAACTAAAACTAAAAAACATACAAGACCAACAAAGGCCAGAGGCTCCTGACTTGGGACAGGCGCAAAAATGCGGCGGGGTTAAACATGTTTTTGTGAGATCTCAATCCTCCCCCTATACATCCAGCCAATGTAAAATAAACAAACACACAGCAATTTTGAGCGTTCCTGATAAAGGTAATCCAGAAAAGCGGTTTAGACGTATGAAATTTATAACATATTGTTTTCATCTATATACAAATTTCATCAAATTTAAAATACTGTCTTATAATGTACACTTTACATTACGTTAATAAGTCCTAAACTATCATTTTCTTTATAGAGAGTTACTGATCACATTTCAGCTGTTGATCAAGTTAACATCATACCTTTCTCAAAGATGAATTTAGTAACCGTTATGGATATTTGTTACCTCGAAATGTTACATTTGTCGTTGTAATAATACCGTTTTCCTTTCCTAGATGATGACAAAATCGAACCCGATTTATCATAGTATTTTCACTTGTAATAAGCAACACCATTAGTGTCATACGTAGAGAAGGGACTATAGATCCAGTCAAAGCGCCATTTCAATACTGGTGTTTAATTTGGGCTGTGTTGCTTAATCTTAAGTTTTCTTTGTAGTGTTGTTTGGATTTTTTTTGTCTTTTATTAGTTCTTTTTTATTTTTGTCTGTATTCTGGAATGTATGGTTTTTGACTGTCTCTGTGGAAGTTTTCCTTCTTTTTAACAGATTTACTGCAATGTATTTATCTTAAAATTACCGAAGTTTATTATTGTTATATTCTAACTTTCATAAGATCAACAAAGCCAATTACTATTAAAAGTCATTTACTAGTGTTTTACAGAACGTTCCATGAATTTATCATTTGACATTTTTTATTCAAGAAAAACCGTTTGAAGTATGTTTGTTATCTCATTCACATATGCGAGGACAATTTTTTGAATGTCCATCAGGAAATGTTAAATTAGCAAATTTAATTCCAATAGCCACCAGTTTTGAAGCGATAATTTATTTGAAATGAGCATCAGTATATTAAATGCAAATTCTTACACAAACGACAAAATAAATAGAAACACTGAAGATTGCAAGAAAATGTGGTACAGTTTACTAGGGCACATGTTTAAATATACAAGCACTGTTAAAATTCAATTTTAAAAACAAAATTGCATTTAAAGTTTGATCTGATAAACATAATTCACGGTCGTGTAACAAGGTTATATATGCCCTAACCTTCGTTTTATTTCTTTTTAATGTTTAACTTTTACATTTAATGCAAATGGTGTTGTCGCAAATAATAGTTATACCGGTAGTGGTGACTTTCGGGTGATTTGTATATCGTCATTAAGGCAATGCATATTAGCAATGGCTGGTAACTTCAATGGCTTTTCTCCATCGATACAAATAAACTGATCGAAATTTAACAATGCCATGGCTAATTTCATAATGTTTTTATTATATGATGATAAAATCTCAATACAAATTGTGTAAGAACAAAATTGCAATCCCAAGTGTTTACAAGCACAGTTAAGGCATGTAGCATGCATAACATAATGCATTTGTTTTCTGTCGTTGTATGATTAAAGCTAGTTTGTTTTACTAAAAATCCAATCCATTTCTATGTCAGCCACGGAAATATCTTGGATCCTTTGGGACCTGTAAAATAAAATAACTTCATCATTAAATGTCTTAAAAATATATTGTAACACTATCATGACTATCAAACGTTTTTTTTTTTTAGATTAAAAGAGTTTATCATATTCTGTACAGTTCATGAATGTATTTTAAAAGATACATTCTACACGTTTACTAAAAAAAATAAACACGAAATTTGAAAGTATAAAAAAATCTGCAGTCGACACAAAATTCATAAATGGGCATAAGATACACATAGATATATACAAAACTACTTGTAACGTGTTCCCTATCTTTAATTGACACTGCAACACGTGGTGTTATTAAAATAACGGTATCAACACTTTTTTGTCGGTCAAGTACAAACATAAATAGTTGTGAGAAAATTAGACAATAACAAGCCATTATCTAAAAAGTATCAGTATCCCAAAGTATTAAACTGTACCAAATCTCGATATAATTAGACTATATATACAATTTTGCGCAAGAACTTAATTTCTTTACATTTTCTTGTTTACTCGATTTTATTTGTAATTGAAAGACATTTTCATTGCATACATGTTTTATTGAAGGAACTTTCATAAAATAAATATTACAATTATGCATGCTCATCTGGAAACATTATGAAGCTAAACAATTGCACTAATACGAAACAAAAACATACAAAAGGAAACAAAAACAACTGATATTTATTGTGAATACTAAAAGTTTCGAAAATAAGCTAATAAATCACGCATTATTATATACACAGAATTCTAAGGTAAATTTGAAAGGGAGAAATCCATTAACATGATAAAACCTGACAAATCAATCATTAGACTATGCCAACCAACGGCAAACAACTTTCATATTTCTGACTTGGAACAGACATTTTCCAAAGAAAATGGTTGGTTGAAAAAGTATTAACAAAAATATCTTACTCCAATGTAAACTGAAAAGGGGAAAGTCCAACTGTAATACCGTATTCGTCAGATTCTTACGAAACTAGTATACAGATCATACATTTCATTCTTTAAAAAAAAAAATTTCGAACGTCGAAGTAAATAAATAATTTTTCGTTCAAATTCACCTGTTATCATTTCAATTTAACCCAAACGAAAGCAGCGAATTCACGAGGTCGAGATATGACCAGACTGCCTCTTTCTGAACATAAAGAGTTCAGATCATTTTATGGATGTTCGCTCCTCTTGTTTTTGAATTTTTGACAGATATTCGGAATCCTCTGGTTTTATCCATGTAGTGCCATTAAAAATTTTGCCCACTAACCCCTACTTTTCTTTCCATAATTTGATTACATATAGTTTGAAATATCATCTTTGAAAATCTTTAAAAAATCCTTGTTATTTTTCATCGTTTTTGAAACAAGGTGCCAATATTGAACGTATGAAAAATCTACAGAGAATTATTTCCCGCCAAATTTTCAATGACTTATATCTCGAAAACAAGCACACGGACCCTTCATTTTTTTCTGCTTTTTTAGTTTCTTAATTCATATACTATCAATTTATAACAGTCTTTTAAAAAGCTATTTTATAAGTTATTATGAAACAGGGTAGCGAACATCCTTAAGGCAGGATTCGTGTACCTCACAAAATCTGTTCACGCGTTATACATGTTCTGCATGGCGTAGATTAGAAATACCCGAATGAACATCTTCATGTGCACATGTGTTCAATTAAGAATCTACTAACGATTAAAACAACTATCCGGATGTTCATCCTCACTGTGTTTGCATTCTGGTTGGTCGTTGCAGAACCAACTATCATATATGCACATCGGATTATTTTCAGAACATCTCGACATTCCAGTAGGGCAAACTCTGTCTGTAAAAAATAGTGTTGTTTAAATACGGGAACATATAGAACATAATATTATATTATTTTCAATTGATAATAGTAAGTGAATCTTAAAGGGAAAGATGTGAAAGTGAATCAATTTTATAAACATCAACGCATCGAAAATACCTGTCGTGTGTGCATGTGATTTACTATATTTTCCCTCGATAAGAAAAACGCAATCGGGCCATTGCAGAGCGAAACTGAGGTCAAATCTGTATATCGTAGTTGTGTATAATAATATATACTTATTACACGACTCAACAACATACTATATATAAAAACCTATCATATATATATACTTCAAATAGTATTTATGCATACCACTTGTTCTCAAATTAAGTTTACGCCAAATTACAGTTTACAACTCGGTAATTTTTGTCGTTCTCAAGTTTCTAAGCTCAATATTTATTTTTTTTTGTAATTCTTCTGACATAGACGCACTACTGTATATTACACTTAACTACTAACATCTTGTTGGAATATTTTTCACTGTAATGACAGCTAAACAATCGATCAAAGATACCAGGCTTTTAATGGTGAATACATTACTCTTATTGTTTACTTAAACAATCAATTTCTTTAAATAATGAAAGATCTTGTATTACCTTTTGTGCACATCTTTGGATCTTCATCCGAATCATCGCTGCAGTCAGAAAATCCACTACAAAACTGCATTTCATAGATACACTGAACGTTATTTGCACATTTCACCATTCCAACTGGACAGATGCGATCTATAAAAAATTGTAAAAAATTATAATAAGTTTATACATCTGAAATCCTTCAACTGATTATTCCATTTCAATAAATGTACATGTGTTTTTCATAGACACAGACAACCGAAAGCTCAAGTGGGTTTCAACATGCCAATCAAATGTTACAAATAATTCAAAATAATAAGACCATTACAAAATGAATTATATACTATAACACGGTAAATGATGCATTTTAAAGATGTTCTGTTTCAGGAATAACGATATAACTATCAATGCAGGTCCAACATATGTATGATAACAACTATGTGTTATGTTTGTTTGTCAAATCAAACATTTTCTGAAATATATAATCACTTGAGCTTTACAGTAAATACTATCGAACTCTTATTGCTAATTCCCATCACTGCTGGTACCTCTGTAAATAGTTTCGAATTATTTTGCAAAGCATATAAGAAAATGACCTATTAGATAGTAGCTTGAATGACTCTTTTTTCAGTTAAGCCTAAAAGTAATCACTTTTTTCTCATAAATCATATTTCAAACTAATAAAAAAACAGATATGTCTTTATTTTACTGAAATGTCATCTTTTTCAAAGGACTTTTTTTGCATTTGTAGAGTATATTTTACGCAACACTATAACTAGTAATTATTGTGTGTTTACGCTATTTAAACTGTCAACCACTAGTGATCGTACTCTCTGTTTGTGGTACTTTACCTGTAGCAAAGACAATATGTCATAGTACCGTGTTTTAAGATATATTTAATTTGTAGAGCTATCTTTATATGTTTGAAACAAAGGCAGCTTTTATATATGCGGGGCCACACAACAAACACTATACGGTCTGACAACATATGTAAGGGAAACTAATTTGCTAAATATTTGATAAATTACTAAATTTGTTAGCTTCAGGCTGTCATGGAATCTCAACGAGCATGTTCATAACTTAAATATTTCGACTATAAACTGTTTAGTTAATAAGATATTATTCAATAATTCATTTAATGCATGTGAACATACTCTTTAAACAGAAGTCTGGATTTTCGTCTGAACCATCTGAACAATCTGCGTAACCATCACATTTCATGAAATCGAAAACACATTGGTATCCATTCTCACATTTGGACATGATGTCACCACAACTACGTGCTGTAAATGAAAACAATATCCATATCACATCTATTTATTATTATTTTCGAATGTTTAATTAATGTGAAGTAAGGATGACGATTTTCTGTTTCATCCTTGAGGTCTAGGTCAAACAAAAATGAGATTGAACACAATCAGAATAGCAACCGGACTGACAATACATATATAGATCTAGTAACCATGTGATTCAAATGTCAGGAAATTAAACATTCTGGTTTATATGTAGGTTCACATTTGGAGACATGTTTTATCTTTGGTAAAAATGACTTATCCGAAATAAGTAAGCCGATGAAGAGGGCCGGAAGATAACAAATGGAATTTCTAAACTCATAAGTCGAAAACAAACTGTAAACGTCGTTGAAAAAAGCAAAAAAACATCAAGACAAACAACAGTCAACAAAAAATTATCATTGGAAACTACAGACTGAGCAACAAGAACCCCACAAAACGGGACAAAAGAGGGGGGGGGGGTGATGGTCTCAGGAGCCCCCGAAAGGTAAGCTGACGTGTAACGTGTTCTATAGGCGTTCTATGTATGCGAAAACACAGCATATTTATTTATCTGAAAGATTATTCTCCAAAAGGGACATACGTGTGTATATACATGATATTGTCATTCGAAAATCCATGCTTATTATTTCAGAAGACAAGACAACGTATAGTATAATCATAAAATCAACAATATTATTGGATTACAATTCGTTATATATGAAAATGATATATAGTAAAACATTCCCAAATTTCTGCCAAATTAAGCTAGGGCCGTCTGAGTCATTTAATTTAGAATATGAAAAAGGTCTATAACACGACTTATGATTAATGACACCATACGAAAGTCTCGCCTTTTCACGACTTATTAGCGTCTCTCAAAACAAAGTTAAACGGCGAAATATATGTGTTGTTAGTTGTGAATAATGATTGAATATAAAATAAAGTGTTGTTTTAGTCATAACAATAACAAATTTGCAAGCAGTTTATCAGAAACATGATCATCCTCATCGAAATTTTCTGTTAATTCATTATAATTCATTGGGTAACAATTTTCGTGGATTTTATGGGTACAAGTGAACCACAAATTTAAATGTTGAACGAATTACAAAGCAGATGTTTGGAAAAACGGTACAATAGATAGCCACGAAAATGCAAGTGTTCCTCAATCCACGAAAATTGGCACCCACAAACATAGATGAATTCACAGTGCATGTATATGATAAACCAGGTAGATAATTACACTGTGCATGTTCGTTTTTTTCCTCATAACTCTGATAGCACAACAACACGTAAAAGGCAATATATTAATGTATATTAAGTCAGGAATCTGATGTTCAGTAGTTGTCGTTTGTTGATGTGGTTCATAAGTGTTTCTCGTTTCTCGTATTTTATACAGATTAGACCGTTGGTTTTCCCGTTTGAATGGTTTTACACTAGTAATTTTGGGGGCCCTTTATAGCTTACTGTTCGGTGTGAGCCAAGGCTGCGTGTTGAAGGCCGTACTGTGACGTATAATGGTTTACTTTTATAAATTTTGACTTGGATGGAGAGTTGTCTCAGTGGCACTCATACCACATCTTCTTATATCTATAGTCACTTTGTATGGTAACTTACTCAAATGTTCTGATATCTTCAGTAAAAAATGAAGTATTGGTAAATTTCTTGTAACTTACATAACTATATTCTGTCAATCGTGAAATGTAAAGTAGTGTTTGCATTTCATCATGCAAATTGTAACGGCAGAAAAAAACTAGATTAATTAATAAATCAGTTACTTTTACAAAATTGTTGTTCATCTTCTGACTCGTCATTACACATCTGTTCCCCGGAACAAATCGTTGACTGATGTACACATGCATGACCATTTGGACACTTTACATGATATACGGGACATTCGAATGCTGCATTAATAAATCACAAAATAAATTGCAGTTTGACTGATCACTAGTTTAAAACAATAAAACAGATTCATGCAATTAATATTCGTATTTGGTGAAAAAAAAGAACAAGTACAAGAATTATTTTCACACTTTACTTTAATCTGATCAAAATATGATGTAATGTTAAAACGCGATCAATTATTGGTAGATGTATGATTGGACAATGATTTCCAGGCAAAATGCATATTACCAATATCAGATTCTTATTGCAAGTGTTAGTGATGATAGCTCATTTGCGCCATTTGCTTAAAGAAATATGTTCCCTCTTATTTTAATGTCTTTATGGTATTATTCTCTGTATGTCTATTTATAAAAAAAAACTTGATTGCAAATTATATTTCATATAGATTCACGAAAGAGGGACGAAAGATCCCAGAGGGACAGTCAAACTCATAGATCGAAAACAAACTGACAACGACATGCCAAAAATAAAAAGACAAACAGACAAATAATAGTACAGACGACACAACATAGAAAACTAAAGACTAAACAACACGAACCCCACCAAAAACTGGGGGTGATCTTAGGTGCTCTGGAAGGGTAAGCAGATCCTGCTCCATATGTGGCATCCGTCCTGTTGCTTATGTTATTACAAATCCGGTAAATAGTCTTATTCGGTAGGTCAAATTTGTGAAAAGGGAAGGGTATTGTAGTAACGACATAAGGAACATATCCGATATCATCTGTGAAACGGTTATTCCATAACGGTCAACCAACTCGTGATGGCGTCCGTAAAATTTACAAAGGGATGATTTCAACTTCACCATTTGGAACTCTTGGTTTAATAGCTTCCTTGTGAGCAGCATTCCTCTATCAAGGAAATCATGATAGGAAATACAAGCCCGGGAATATCGTTTCAATTGGGAGATATATACTCCGTATGCAGGCGCTGCTGGAATGTTGCTACATAGAAATGGAGAGTTCACAATTGGGAAGCTGAAATTATATCTTTTGTCGTAAAGTTTTGTTTTCAACCGACCCTCATTGTCAATTTCTAGATGTAAGTCAAGATATGAGGCAGACTTAACTGTATCTGTAGTATCCTTTATCTCTAGTTCGATGGGATAGATTCAGTCAACATAGTCACCAAATTTTGTATTATTTAGTAAGAGAACATCAACTATATAGCGGAACGTAAAGTTAAAGGATATTGCTAACTTCTTATCTTTCTTCCTAAGAAGTTCCTGTATGAAGTCAGCCTCATAATAATAAAGAAACAAGTCGGCAAGAAGTGATAAGGTTTGTATGTCAACCAGTCAGCATTTAAACAACACAACAAACCAGACATAAAAAAAAACAGATAGTTCGCAGTTTTTACATTCATAAACATCTTCACAGCACGGTGGATAGGTAAACATAAATCATCTTCAGTTTTGCTTTACTGAATTTTTATCTTAAGCTTCATTTAGAGTATCCAGACGCTATTGGTATTACTTAAGCAACCTCGTTAAATGTAGATGTTAGTAGTGTATAACAAATCGGATGAGGATCCCGGATATTGAAAAGGGGTAGGGGGCTAGCAAGCCAACGTTTGGAGTAAGACTATGAAAAAGTCTATGCATTTATCAAATATGAGCTTCATAAAGGAGGCGTGACCCCTGCCCACCCTACATTCGCCTCTGCAAATTGTTTTTAAACATGTAGCTGTACAATAGAGCTTATGGGAATACAATCCAAGTATACATCGCAATAACTGAAAATCAACTTATCCAGTATAATATACATGTATAAATATAAAGCTAAACAAAACTTAAATTTTTCCAAACTTATTGTTTGTTTGTTTGTTCTATCAGCGGGAAAGAAATATAATTTGTGTGAACAACCTCCCAGCCTGAACCTATTTGAAAAGAGTATTTCCGTCATCTTTGTCACGTTAAGCCCATTGCCTGGCATAGTCCTCGACTAAATCCATCAGGACTGGGTAGTTGTGTTTCCAATTGATGGATTCAGGCTCACGATATTTTTGGCCTTTGGATAACACATTTCGTAGAGATGTGTTTTTGGCAATGTTCAGGTCAACATTAATGACGTTGCCATACGGTGTATATATAAATGGGGATCTAGCACAGTTGCACGCATTAGGTTTATACTTGAAGCCGTCAATATTAATATTCTGCAACACGTGTTTGTATTAAAAAATGTTTGCATAAGAGGCGACAGGTACAGCCTGATCTATACAGTAGGGAGGTATTTTCAAATGAACTGATCTGAGTAGGATATTGCCTAAGTTTATTGCATCGAGACCTTTGTTGGCCAAAGAAAGTTTTAGAAATGACCTTTTCTCCTTTTCATCTTTTCCATTAAATGTTTAATCATTTTAAATAATTTACAATTTTTTACCTGAACAATACTCTATGTCATTATCGGAACCATCTTTACAGTGTGGACCGGGACCGGAAAAATTCCCGGCACACATATAAAAAACATGAACACACTGCAGTCCGTCTTTGCATTTTACAAATCCAACAGGACACTCATAATCTACAGTGAAAAGCAGACTAACTGTTACAAATATATAACCGACTAATGCAAAAATGGAGTTTATGTTGTTAATGTTGTTCATGCAATATTGTAATGTAAGTCTCACCAGTGCCTGTAAAGCATTGACAACAATACAATTCAATATTTGTACAAAATCTGGGCAAAGCCATTGTTATGTATGTAGGGAGAAGGAATACCTAAGCGTTTGTTTCGAAGAACTGTATGCAGAATAATTCATAGAACGGTGCATTATCGTCATCCTAGCTGTGGTTGGCAAATATGATTTGTCATAATTGTTTTCTGAAATATTGAAATGGCGTACATTCATGAAAACTACATTTTGTGTATATATAAGACATTGTAGATTGATAAATTATCTACTTCATCATACGCATAAAAATAAATGACTACATTGTTAAAAAAAATCTACTAATCATTCAAGCACAAGGAGCAATTTTAACTCTCCAACTCTTAATCGGAAGCTATTTTGTTAGTTGAAATTTTATTGAATTGCAATCCCAGAGCCGTACACAATTTGAACGGAGTCCTTTTGTACACACATCTTTGGATAAGGCCACTTGGCATTGAAAATATCTGAACTAAACATATGGTAATTACTTAAAACAAATGAGTTATTATTAGAAAATGTAGAATTTGATATCTCAACATATATTAGTCATATTATTTCTACACATGATGATTTTGTACGAAACAGAGCAGTTATATATATTCTCCAATATTGTACATTCCAATAACAACAACAAAAAAAGAAAAGATTATTCTAATGATGGTTTGAAATTACTTGCGCTTGGTTGCGTTCTCATTTCTTATACATTTGATACACGTTCCTGATGAAGGTAAATCCAGAAAAGCGCTTCGGACGCATGAAATTATTAAAGGTGTTATTTTCAATTTTTTACATCACTGGATCGATACCTCTGCTGGTGGACTATCAGTCCCCGAGGGTATCATCAGTCCAGTAGTCAGTACTTCGGTACTGACATGATTTATAACAAACCTTTCTAAAATTGTCAGTTTATAAATTTTGAAATTATAAAGAAACTAAGGTTTCAACTCCCTCAGGCAAAGTTGACCTTAGATGAATTTGGCTATTTGTTTTAGGTATTTTTGTCATATAGCTCTTTAACTGTTTCGGTACTTATACACTACCAACAATTTGCCTAACGTTCACATGTACATTAAATGCCGCTATATAAATAGTACTTTTAGGAAACATAACTAATCAGTACATTAAATGCCGTTATATAAACAGTACTTTCAGGAAACATAAATAATCAGTACATTAAATGCCCCTATATTAACAGTACTTTTAGGAAACATCACTAATCAGTACATTAAACGCCGCTATATAAACAGTACTTTTACGAAACACCACTAATCAGTACATTAAATGCCACTATATAAACAGTACGTTTAGGAAACATCACTCATCAGTACATTTAATGCCGCTATATAAACAGTACTTTTAGAAAACATCACTTATCAGTACATTAAATGCCGATATATAAACAGTACTTTTAAGAAACATCACTAATCAGTACATTTATTTATACATCATTTTTAGTAATGTTGAGAAAAAATTGTTATCAGTACTGAAAATTTCAGTCATTTTTCAGTACTGAAAATTTCAGTCACTTTTCAGTACTGAAAATTTCAGTCACTTTTCAGTACTGAAAATTTCAGTCATTTTTCAATACTGAAAATTTCAGTCATTTTACAGTACTGAAAATTTCAGTCATTTCACAGTACTGAATATTTTAGTCATTTTTCAGTACTGAAAATTTCAGTCATTTTCCAGTACTTAAACTTTTTGTCATCTTTAAGTTCTTCTACACATACAATATTAGGTCAATGTCAGAAAAATATAAAATGTTTATATGAGGCTGAGAAACTGGGGAAGGGCGAGGTTTTACTGAACCCTTCCCCAGTTTTGTGCCGAATACAAAAAAGTTTATATCTTTATTACATTGACCTAATATTGTTTTTATACTGCAGCTTAAATTAATACATTGATAGTTTTTTAAATCATCGTAACTATTATATATAAATAACATAAATATCAAACTTATTTTTATCCCCTAATGAACCCCTGATTGTGGAGAAAGTGTTCCATGATGAAATTGACATTGCACAAAATATAGAAATCAACGACAACGGAAGCCCGCAATAGAACGGTGTTTTAATCTTTTGCTGACGACAACTTCAAAATCTACTCAGGACCAGGATTCTTTAAGGTAAAAATTTACGAATTATATCAAAGTAGTTCACATTTCATTTGGTTAGTATGGTATGGTGGTCATGAAATTAAATATGGTGTTCAAACTTGGGGCATTTTAGTTGGGTGTAAGATAAGTCCGCCCTGGGACAACTCGGACCGTCTCAAAAACAGACAACTCAGACCATCTATAATGACAACTCAGACTAAGTTAAAGTATAAAATTAGACTTTGGAAGAAATAAATGATTTAAGGAAAAATAACGAGTCTGAAGAGAAGTATCTAAATTGATACTTTTTTTTTATTCCAACTTTGAGCATGTTGAGTATATATAAAATTATAACGTCAACTAGGGGCGTGATTTTTTTTTCTTCGGTAGTGAGCCAGAAGAGGTCCATTTCTGTTTTTGTTTTGCATTGGGAAGATCTTCTGGCTCTCTTCTACCTCTTCTTTTTAATAGGCAGTTTAGACGGCAGAGACACATAACAAACATCACGTCGCTTAGTCTAAATGACATTAATAGATTTATAAATGCAGAAATAATAAAATATGAGCTGTGTGATAAACGTGTTTATGGTATGGCAACCTTAGTAGGATACTGTAAGGACAACTAGCTGGATAAATAATAAAAACACACGTACGGATAATAACAGTAAGGGGACGACCTTTTGATATTCTAAGGAGGGGAATGGGGCAGGAGGATTCATTTATAATTTTTAACTTGTCGCTAAGCATGCCTATTTTTTCCAGCTCTTACCAGGCCACCATATTCATATTCAAAATCCTCCTGCCCCTCCCCCCCCCTTTCCTCAAAAAATCAAATGATTTTCTCCTTATTTTACACGAGTTTAAATTGATTAATTGTTGGTTGTTTGTTTTTAACGTCCAGCGACTAATATTTCATACATGTTTAGACAAGACGCGAAATTAAAAGTCATGTATAGAATATCAAAACACAAGTATCGAGATGTGGTATGATTGCCAATTAGGCAACTATCAACCGGAGTTCAATGAAGTAGCGTTAGCAATTATAACCAACCGTGCGGCCTTCAAAAATGACAAATACCCATACTGTATATCAGTTATAAAAGGCCCCGACATAAAAAATGTGAAACAATTAAAACGAAATAAACTAACGGCCTAACGATATATAACAAACCCATTCTAAAAAAATCAAATATGAGTCGACAGATATGAACAAACAATAACCACTGAACTACAGGCTCATGATAATGTGGCAGGATTCAACATGTTTGTGAGCGCTCAACCCATCCCTTAACGTAGACAGTGGTGTAACAGTACAACATAAAAACAACGTGTAAAAGTCAGTTGCAATTGGATTATCCAAAAAGATCGGTACGAGACACAACAACATCTAACATTAACTAAAGATGATAAACGTGAAGCACCAAGAGTATTTGTAGTAACTGAAAACTTGTTAAAAGCCAATTAAAACCAACATATAAATCATGCTCTTCCAGACTAAAGTATCAATCAGTGGCGGATCAAGAAATGTTCATAAGAGGGGTGGGGCAAGAGGAAACTCGCTCTAATAATGCTTCAGTAATTCCTTAAATAATCAACCAAATTTTTCCCACAAAAGGGGATTGAGCACCCCGCCCCCAAAATCCACCTCTGTCAATCATTACACAACAAACGGATTTAGTCATAAACAGTCTGAAAAACGCCATTACCTTGTATACTTGTACCTTGAAAACATATACATTTGTACGATCAAGGTTCTGGAAAAGTGGTGGTCCGAAGGTTTTGACCAGTAGATTTTTTCTTCAAGGACCAACAGGGAATAAAGATTTTGAGAACACTGCAATATCTTTTATATACAATTTCTAAAGGAAAGATGTCCTTTTCGGTCATATATATACCAGTAAAATATTGACATTTTTTTGTATAGTTTCAGATTATTTCAAAAAGATAAATTGTCTGAGCTTTAAGCTGTATTTGTTTATCTTAACTAAGTTAGAAAAACTTTAAGAAACAATATCACGTACACAGCGATTTCTTCTAACCATTTTTTGGTCTTTACACTTATATAATTACATCAATGCGAAAACAGAGAACATTATTAAAGTCATGTCTACCAAATGAACTGGCGTAACTAAATTTTCTAATAAATTATCGTAAACTTCGTTTATGTAATCCAATACAATAAAAAGGTGCTATATTCGACGGCAAATTGTATTGTTGTTTTGTAACTTCTTCATCAGAATATATCCTGAATAGGTCCTGATTCATTATTTTGAACTATTCACTAGAAGACATTCTGGAGATACACAGAAGAGACCAATGAAACACGCCCTAGGTCTGTACATGAAGAGACGTCTATATCAACAGTTGAGTACTAGTGTTCCAAAGTATTTTTGCGACTTTAGGTTTGCACTCCGCCGATCTGTCTGTCTGTCTGTCTGTCTGTCTGTCTGTCAGTCCAGCACATCAGCGTTCAACTCTTTTTTTCTTCATGCTTCAGGATATTAATTTGAAATTTGGTGTATTGTTTTATCATGACAAGTTACAGATCAAGTTTGAATTTTGTTCCGGTCGGATGATTTTGTGCAGAGTTATGGCCCTTGGACAGAAAATTCACTGAAATAATTTCCGCACCTTTTTCGTTATGCTTGAAGATATTGACTTGATATTTGTTATATTCAATGTAGTTTAAAGATCAAGTTTTTAACCGGTAGGGTACTATATATTGCCATGCAATACTCACAGATGCTTGTTATTTCTGTTGTTTGAAAGCTGTATG